TGGCGTTCTAAACTAGATGTTATGAGACGTAAATGGTTTTTATCTAATCTAGAACAGCTTGGATGTAAAATAGTTATCCCATTCGGACTTGGTGTGTCAGTGTAAGATCACGCTATGGCCTCCGGCTATCGGAGTGATCTTATACTGACACACCGCGTCTCCATGGGATAACTATTACTGAGAAAAAAAACAAAATTGTCACTGGCTATTATGGAATTAAATAATGTGTTCCAAATCAAAACACAAAAAACAAAAAAAAAAACAATTAGGTTTTTGTTCACATTGATTTTGATATATCCAGCTATGAAAATATTTGGTTTTAAAAATATTTTTGACAATTGCAAGTTTCTATCATTTGAATAAAAAATAACAAATATGGTCCTTATTTATATATATGTTATATCTGGTCTATATACCAGCTTTGATAAGTGTTTGGTATTACTATAAATTTTCACTTCTTCGAACTATGAACATCAAAATTATTTATTTTGTAAAAATATTTCCTTTCTCCTTTTAAATGGTATACCTTACAACAAAATTATTTTCATTTACCTGTGTGTAATATTATTGTAAATGGCGGATTTTTGTTTAAGGTTGTTGTTGTTTTTCTGAAATGTTTAACATTTCACAGCGGTATAATACTGTAACTTTAATTATTCATCCCTTATTTTATTGATTTTGTATTTACTTTGTGTCATAGATAAAATTTATTCGTTCAGTGTATGTTCACTTGTGTTAAGGGCATACGATACAGTTACAGGGTAGGTAATGACGTTTCGCGACGTCAAACTGCGACATATCGGGAAAAGATGCATTTTGTCGACTTAATCTTATCATTCAGACTGATATAACTTGAAAACGAGTACATGGACCCCTCTTTCTTAAAATGACATTAGGATTGATTACGTATGAAGATTATTTGTACCAATTTTTATGAAAAAGTCACCGATGAGATTTTTTTTTTTTAGTAAATTCTGTTTTTTTCCCTAAAATCCTGAAACTTTGATAAAAATTAATTATTTCCAAAGAATTGTTATAAAAATTTACAGCATACTTATGTAAAAGAGATTTTCCAAATGTTTTTACAAAAATCCAATAGTGTTTATCTTTTGAAACAAAAAAGTTAAGTATGTCTATCCAAAGGATAGAAATGTTCCAAAAAACGAAATTTTGAGTAAATGTCTAAAATTTCGACCCCATTTATCTCTTAAAGTAGCACATGAAGGTATATTTTTTATTACATATTTGCATTGACTAGGTGAAAAATAGCTTGTATGCAAATTTTCGTAAAAAAATCACCGTGGGATCAAAACTGTTACGTATGCCCTTGATATGTCTTTTGATTGACTTAAGCCATTTCAATTGATATTTTATATTGTGATGTTACACTATTGTTTCAGATAAGGGTGAAGGTTTGGTACCATTAAAACGTTTAAACCCGCTGCAATTGTTTGCACCTGTCCTAAGTCAGGAATCTGATATTCAGTAGTTGTCGTTTGTTGATGTGGTTCATAAGTGCTTCTCGTTTCTCGTTTTTTATATAGATTAGACCGTTGGTTTTCCCGTTTGAATGGTTTTACACTAGTAATTTTTGGGGCCCTTTATAACTTGCTGTGCGGTGTGAGCCAAGGCTCCGTGTTGAAGACCGTACTTTGACCTATAATGGTTTACTTTTATAAATTGTGACTTGAATGGAGAGTTGTCTCATTGGCATTCATACCACATCTTCTTATATCTACTTATTACCTTGATTAGAATACAACGCGACCTTATAATTATGGTAATGTGTCATACATGCAATTACTGTGTACACAAGAAAGTAAAAAGTGGTATGTACTATGAAACCTTGTGAAGTGAAATTAGGGCAACTTGAAGATGATTTTCTTTAATTTTCTTAAGGAACTTGATCCATATCATCATAAATTGAAAAACCGTGATAATGTCTGAAAGGAATTCGCCACCTTTATCTATATTATAATAAAGCTTTAAGTTTTTATTTTGAAAAAAAAATATAATCTTAGATCTATTTGTAGTTCTAGACTATCTATGGGGTCATATATCTATATTTTTCAAATCTATATATGCCAGTGTGTAGTCAGTTTGTTTTGTTATCTTACCACGAAAAAAATACATGTAGTAAGACACTGCTTTATGTGTATCAATATACATACTTACACCAGCAACTTCCATCGTTTCATTTTAGAGTCAAGGGCCTTAAAAAATCACGAATGTTATGTGATGGAATTATAAACCGCTATTTTCCCAATATGAGTTTGATGCATTAATAAAATCATGATCTGGTAAATCACTGTCTCTGAGTGAATTTACAAAACATGAAACTTAATTAATGAACTCTGTTTTATAAACACCTGTGATACATGTTGTTAGCCAAATTAACTTCAATAGACCAATTAAAAAATAACTTGAATTGTAAATATGTGCTAAATTGAATAGTCTACGAAAAGGAATATACTATGAAATTAAGTGCTCGGGGCCAGCCCCTCGCTCTAACTATCACAGTACATACCTTTTCAAAGCCAAGCCGATACTTCATTTATTAATTAGTTAAAGCAATTTAAAGATTGAAAATGTTTACCCTTTTTGCAATGCTAGGGGCAAGATTATGTCTCTCGTCATACCTTATTTTCTGTAGAAGTCATAATACCAACAAATTTTTGACAATATGCATAATTGAAGTAAGATCTGCGCATTTTGCTCAACTAAAAGATTTCTTCTTTAAATAGAAATTGAGAAATTTAAAAATCAACAATACACGTTTTAGACACTACGTACGATACCATGAAAAGTGGGAACTATTTAGTCGATACTTTTACAAATGCAAACAGATTTTGCTTGTAAATGATCAGTTACGATTCGTAATAGTATAAGCTAGTAATCGATCTACGTATTAACCTTAATATTAGATAAGAATATCATATGATGTGCATGCTGTAAAAACATTTTAAAATGTGATTATTCAAACACACAAAAGAAGAGAATAACACGTGATATACCTGATCTTTTCTATATAACCACTGTCATACGTTGTAACCAGCATCTCTACATCGTTTTCATAGAAGCGTATGACCTTGGTGAGCATATGTTTATTACATTATTTTTAGTTGAGTTGAAGTGACCTGGAGGTAATTCGTTTATTTATTATTTCTTCCTTTCAATCCAATATCAGTCTATTGCAATAATATGATATAATAGGATGATAATTACATGGTAAATTTCGTGCATTGATGTCACTTTGACCATTTTACTCATAGTTTAGACAAAATTAGACATGACCCATGGCAATAACTTAACAGAAAAACCAATATTATTATCAATGACAACAAGCTGATGCATATATGTAGATATCAATGATAATAAGCTAATGCATTTATCTAGATATCAATGACAATCAGCTGATGCATATATCTAGATATCAATGACAATAAGCTGCTGCATATATCTAGATGTCGATGACAATAAGCTGTTGCATATATCTAGATATCAATTACAATAAGCTGATGCTTATATCAATATATCAATGACAATTAGCTGATTCTTATATCTAGATACCAATGACAATAACCTGATGCATATATCTAGATATCAATGACAACAAGCTGATGCTTATATCTACATATCAATGACAATAAGCTGATGCTTATATCATGATATCAATGACAATAAACTAATTCTTATATCTAGATACCAATGACAATGACTATGAAAAGTTTTTCTCCAGTTTTGCATTTAACGTTTGAGAGCAAATCGTCATAACCAGTTCTCATATGTATACCTTTTTTAAAACTTGGTTTCAAAATAGGGTTTACTGCACGATGGAGCGTTTACTGCTAGTGGTTGCCAATAACACACATTTGGTTAGATCTCTGTTTTTCAGCAGTATTTTTATGGAGAAAGCACAAGTAATATGCTAAAGCTTTCCTTTTAAGTATAAGTCAGGTAAAGTAAATCCTGAAGACACTGATTTCAAAGTGACTTGGAGTGACTCATCAAAAGCTCAATGCGAAGAGCACAGTGTCTATTAATTCAATTATGTATTTCTACATAAGCCTCTAGATTTGATTGTATTACACTGCATGTTCAAATAAGTACTATCGAGTGATGGTCAGAGTACATACAAATCATTAGACAAATATTTACTATTTATCTAATCCAACGTAAGATTGTCTTAAGACAATAATAAATTAGATATATACATATATTGACATTTGTATATTGAAGAAAAAATTTTGGAGAAATTGAGAATGGGGAAGCTGATAGTAATTCTATAGAGTATGTACCATTTATATCTTCTTGAAAAAACTAAGCAGAATTTCCGACAACAACATGTATAATTTGCATACAGTATTTCCTTCTACGGACTCGAGGGGACCCAAATTCATCATTTCAAGTTTTATTTTTTGCTCTCACATGTACATTTTTTTAAAGATTTTTGTCATTTGCTTATTATTCATCTTTTACTCTGCGGTTATTATTATTTGATTATTATTATTTGATTTTTTATATTTAAAACTTAAGCAGAAATATCTATCTTACGTTTTCTTTTCTTTTTATTTTATTCACTACTGTACACCGATTGATTGACGTCCCCTGGCAAATGTTCATGCATATTCAAAACGAGTGCAAATTGACAACAATTTAATCAGCCCTGCAAAGTGCATAGACCCGATACTAAGCAGTTCTTTTAGTATTTATATTTGTAAAATTCGAATAATCTATCTGAATAGGACATATAGTTTGACAGCAGAACAAACGTAAAAAAACCGATTTCTTTAGCATTTTGGCTTTACCTAATGTTAAGTATGTACCAATAAAAATATAGACTACAAAACAATCCATAGGCTTAGAATATCGAAACAGCTTCATCCTTTTTTTGCCTAACAAATACTACGACAAATCTTCTTTTACCATATGTAAATGCAAAAACCTCTGATAATACTGAATATTTGTATAACTGATATTTACTATATTACTTGATAGATATTACCCATTAGACTAAGGATGGATGTGTTTGTGTATGGATTGCTTCTTTTAACACTGTTTAAATGCGTGGTATCAAAATCACCACATATTGTGTTTATTGTGGCAGATGATTTGGGTAAGTTTATTTCTAACATGATTGTTAAAATCAAGGAAGTACTACAAAACAAAACATTGAAGTTAGTCCTTGAAGAAAAAAAACACGTTTTATGTTGTTCGGGTATATTTTTGAACGAACTTTATAACAGGGTCGGATCAGAGTGTAAAGTGTTTGCAGGCTTCAAAACGAGCAATAAAATAGATAAAATTAAAGTGCCGATTTAGAAATACAAAATTGTACGTCAACCTTACAAATTTCTTGATACCAGCTCAGTCTGTCCTTATGTCATTATGTCCTCATCATGTTCTACTAGTTGCTGCCATGTTTCCTTTCTTGCATTAAAGATGTGCATAACTGGAAAGACACTTTGATTTTTAAGATGACCATAAACTGTTGGTTATATGCTGTAATGACTTTGCCATTTAGACAATAATTTCTTATCTACCTATCTAGTTGTTCTCAAAGTTTATAAATACATCTTTTCTCTTTTAGCTATTATCAGAGAATATGGAGACATCCATTTCTAATATATTTCTCAAATTGTATAGAGACATTAACTCCTTATCTAGTTGTTCTCAAAGTTTATAGTGACATTCATTCCTTATCTAGTTTTTCGCAAAGTTCATCGAGACATACATCTGTTATATTGTTGTTTTCAAAGGTTAAAGATACATCCGTTCTTATCTTATTGTTCTCAACATTTATAAAGACATCCAATATTATCTTGTTGTTTTCAAAGAAAATGGAGACATCCATTTCTTTTATAGTTATCAAAGTTTATAGTTTATAGTTTACGTAGTTTTTTTCAAAGTTTATAGAGACATACCTTCTTATCTTGTTGTTATCGAAATTAATAGAGACATTCATTTCTTATATTCTTTTTCTCAAAATTTAAAGAAACAATAATTTTTTTATCTAGTTGTACTCAAACTTTACAGAGACAATCATTTCTAATCTTCTTGTTCTAAAAAAAAAAGTCATCCATTTCTTATCTCTTTGTTTTCAAAGTTTATAGAAAAATCAATTGTTTATTACTTGTAACCTAGACCGTCAATGACTATGAATTATAGATTATAAACATGAAGTCTCCTTTTTAGAAATGGCATTGGCTAATTGCTGTTTATCCATGTGTAAAGTCCGTTACAGTCGAGGTTAATATTTAGAAAGACTGTTATGTTTATACTATAACAAACAGATTATATAAATCGATGTTATATGCTGTAAAAATGGCAGTTGCTTCCAGTCGATTAAAGCCAGAAACGACTGGCTAAAAACAAAAAGACAGTCATTTTTTACCTTAAGGATAATGATAGTTAAAACTTTAGTACATGGTTACAAGTTCATTTCTTTTACAAATTCATTTATATCATTGACCTCACAGTATTCTAGTTCTATCCTTTTAGTTTTTTAAAAGTTAAATCTTACCTGACTTGAACCAGTGTTTATATAGTGCTTTGAAGATAAATTTCGTCTGTGCATTATTTCTCTTTGTCCATGGTGTTGTCTGTCTATTATCAATACACGTTTTGGATTGTTACTGTAGAATTTAGTTTCTCTTTTAAACCCCATAAGGACGAGTGTCGAGAACACCTGACCCGTCAGTTAATATATATTTAGTTTAGATCACTTATATTTGGATGTTAATAATTATATTGAACATTTTTTATATCATCAGTCAATATTACGTATTTAATGTTTCAGGATGGAACGATGTAGGATTCCGTAATCCGGCTGTTATTTCTCCTAACATAAACTATCTAGCAAAGCATGGGATGATATTGAACAATTCTTATGTACAACCAGTCTGTTCTCCGTAGGTATTCATAACTACAAATAATGCACAAAGACCTTGTTTCATGCTCGAGTCTGGAGCTATTAACATAGCTTCAGAATGTTAAGTTAGATTAATACGACAACTTTCGGTTGCCTGTCCCTAGATTTTATAAACCTTTCAAATATGATTATTTTACCTGCGTTGCCTGTATATCACTTTGTGAAATTTGTTAGTGAAATGCGTTTTCAACTGTTTCAAATATATATATATATATATATATATATGTTACAGACATTTTCTAAATTTAGACATTTTGTACAATGACGGAAATTTGAAGCACAATACAGCAAACTGCCTGTTCATTTTCAGGTAATTTGTAGAAAATTTGTAAAGGTTTTTCGGAGCCATGTGTCTTGCCTGCGATTGCTGTTTTGAGTTTGAAGGTGTAATGTTCACAATAAAAAGTTAGTCCTTTTATCAGTATAATACAGAATTTAAAACAAATAAAACATTTTCTTTAGATGTTATTTTTTAAAAGATTATTCTCTGTCCAAGTTTCATAACAATCTATGAAGGTATACTAACTGATCACGTCAAAAATTTTAATCCCAGATTGCCTGTAGATGTTAACTGTAAAAACATAAATCCATCTATCAGAAAAATACTAAAAATGAAAAAACAATATTTTTGAAGGTTTGCTTCAGACATTTTCTGTTTTTTTTTTATTGAAAAGCTTCTGTCAAAGTTTCATAAAATTCTATGGAGGTTTAACAAAGTAATTGAAGTCCTTTTGTCAGTAAAATAGGGAAAAAAGAATATTTCATGAAAATTTGACACAGTAATTTATTTTAACTTTTGACTGAATCTGAAATTTAGCTGTATAAAAGCTAAATCAATCTATTAGAAAAATAAATTGGAAATAAAAATAAAATTTTCAAACGTTTGCACCTGACATTATCTCTTAATCATAAATAAAATGCTTCAGTCTATGTTTCATAAAATTCTATGAAGGTTTGACAAAGTAATTGATGTGCATTTATCAGTAAAAAACGGAAAAGTGAAAGGAAAAAAATATCTTTAAAATTTTACTGAAGATACTGTCTTTTGGTCATAATTAAGCTTCTGCCCAAATTCCATCAAATTCATTGTAGGTTTGACAGTTATTGATGTCTAAATTTGCCTTCCAGGGACAGCTCAAATAGTTCTCAACGTGCAGAGCTCCGCACTCGCCTTACAGGGGCATCATATTTAATGTACCCATTTATAAATAAAATGCAATTTATACATCCTCCACAGCCAAACTAATTCCCATCAATAGCATGGATTTTACCTTAAAAAGCTTTCTCCAGTTGCAAACAATTATTGAGTTCAGTGATTATGTGAATTTTAAACAATTTAGTATATAATTTATTTCTAATAAATAAAACTCTTTAAATGCAAGAGTTACAATTCATTAATTATCAAAGATAAAACTGCTCTGTTGTTCAATACTTTCAATGGATCAGTTTCTGAGAACCTTTCATTCTTTAAAATAATTTCAGGCATTTTGTAAAATGCCTTTAAATTTTCTAGTCATTTTGTAAAAAATTCAGTCAATAAATAAAATGCCTGAAACTTGCAGTCAGTGCAGACAATGCTTAAAGTTTTCAGTCATTTTACAAAACGCCTGTAACATATATATCATATTTCATAGAAAAAAAAAAAAGGAAAACTGAATTTTAATGAATTAAATATGTTATTTTTTTTAGGAGATCATATATGGACAGGTATGATATTTATGGAAATATTTGTATGCTTTTCATGTTTAGAGATTCGTGCATGCGAATTTGTGAACGAATAATACTTTCTTCTTTTAGGTCAAGAAGCGCCTTTTTATCAGGATTTTATCCATTCAAATCAGGATTACAGGTAAGATAATTTCTCTTGTAGTAGGCATTTTCTAATAAACGAAATTTTTACTACTCAAAACCGTGACGAGTATTTATGAACCATAAATCCGATAACTACCACACGGTTTAAGTGAATGAGACTTGTGTTTTTATGATATTCCGGACGAAATTATATTTACAATCCTTTTTTCTTTTTTCTAAAATTTGCAATTAAAAGAATTGAACTGTAAGGTAACAACAATATTTTTGCTAATGCGCAACTAAACCGGAGTTTTTAGAATAGGATGCACGTTTGAATATTTAGCCTACACTATTTTTTTAAATGTAAAAATGCAAAGTTTAAGCATTATACGTCAACTACCTTTAATTTACTGGGAATGAAATTGTGAGACGTTTTATATTAAAACAATTTAACTTTATGTTTGATAAAATATCACCATTGAATTTGCTGTTTCTTCCAGAATTTTGTCATTGGACCAGAGGCGCCATCATGTGCACCTCTTAATCAAACACTTCTGCCACAGAAACTGAAAGAGCTTGGATATGCAACACATATGATTGGAAAGTATGGAAATTATGTTTTTTACTTAAATTAGTATTTTTTTCAAGAAGTCAATAAAACAAAGTCACAGACTTACTTCCTTGACGCAAGTGTACGTCATTTGTAGTCTACACTCTTTCCTGATTTGTCATTTCTATCATATCCCATATTGATCTTTTGAGTTTTGATTTCAAAGCTTTTTAAAATGGTTACTGATATAATTCTGAAATATTTTAGAACTGTTGGATGAAAATCACTATACACATATAGTTTAAGATTATTAAATAATCTGTTTATAAGCTATGTGTCCTCAAAAATGGAAACGAGAAAACGCGAATAAAACATGTATTTATGTCTTTCAGATGGCATTTAGGAATGTGCAAATGGGAATGTACTCCGACATACCGTGGATTTGATACATTTTATGGATATTATAACGGAAAAGAAGATTACTATAACTATACAATTTGTAAGTCTGAGACATAAAATATGTAAATATATCTAATATATATCAAATAGTCATTTCTGTCGTTACAAAATGCACTACATGTATAGGTCAAATCTACAAAGTAAAATGATAATAGAACACTTTTTAAGTAGGAGATTGATCTATGTTTGTCTAATTTAAGTAATTAACAAAATCATATTTGAAAATAAACATGCAAATTCATATACATTAGACGTCAGATTAATACTGCTACGTGTGTTTCTGATATTTTAAATTTCATTTCTCATTATTTCAGTAAATGGGTCAGATTTCCGTGATAATAAAGAACCAATACGACCAAACGAATACTCTACGGTAAGATGACAAGGTTTTTTGGAAAGATTATGAAGTGTGTGCGTGTGCTGGTATATATATGTGCGTATGTGTAATGATCTGGTCTATTAGTTAAACAATGGTGTATTAACGAGCCTTAAACACGATCTATACTAGCAAGAAAACCTGTTCAACGAACTACAAAAAAACAAAAGCACCATTACAATGCCAGTTCAAGTCAACAGGGACATTTTGTTTCAATACCTGAATTTTTCCATATGCTTTAAAATTCATATTTTAAGATGAACATTTGTATAAAGTTTCATATTGATATGAGCAGGAATTACCTTATTGCAAACATGAACTTACCTTAAACAAACACTTAAAAACATGATACGATAATGAAAGACGGACGTAGAAAAAACGTCATGATTCTCTAAATTGTTGCCGACAACAAAGTGAATAGAATGTTATATATTGTGTTTGTCTCTGTACCTCCACTTAAAAAGACAGTAAAATCAAGTCCATATATTTATATATATAGAAAACTGTCAACTTTGTGGGTTTTTTTTTTCATTTTACAGTATGCCTATGCCCGACGAGCAGACAAAATCATCACTCAACAAAACAAAAGTCAACCAATGTTCTTGTACCTTCCTTTCCAGTCAGTTCATCAACCAATAGAGGTAAGTTGTCACTGGTATGTTGTTCTATTTCTGCTTTACAGGTTAACCGATATCAAAAAGAAAGTGACGCTGAAAAAAATCAACAAGAACATTGCGAAAGCACACACCATCACCATTGACATTGATACTGCAAGGACATTAACATTAAGTTTGCTCTTGGTGTAACCCTATTTGTTTTTGAATAGTTAACATGGTGTGGTCACATGTCAGTTACAATAATTGGGACAACTCGCGAGTCGATAACACTAATTAAAAAAATCCTCTTTTTGCAATTGAGGTTTTTAGAATTGGTAAGCCAAGATTTTGTTTAATGAGGTAATATTGCTGATTTAAAGTTATTTTGAAACAGCAATTATATATTTGTTATTATCTGATAACTGTATTTTTGAATATACGATATATATTGTCTTACATTCAATTTGTCCTGAATTTGCATGAAATATTTGCCACCGGACATGCACACACAACTAATTAATCTCCTGTGAAAAAAATGCATTTTAATCTCCGAACAAAGTTATAGATATATATAAGAGGTTAAACTTCGCTTCAAATTGTTAAAAGAAAATACATACCTATATTTTTATAATTGATACAATCATTTTGTGTAACTGCTAATATAATGATTAATTATTCGAAACTCTAATGGTTTTCTACCCTAATGTATAGATGGCATAAGCAAACATTGACAAAGTTTTATGAAATTTCATATTTTCAATGCTCTTCAACTTTGTATTGGATTTTGCCTTCCAGCTGTTTTGAGTCGGGTGCCATAGCTTGATACACGAATCATGCGTTTGGCATACTAAATCATAACCTTGGTATCCTTTCCGAGTTTAAAAAACCATGGGGTCGATCCAACTACTGGTGCATGTTTCGTCCCTTAATAAGGTATCACCAGTTCAAAAGTCTTCACCTCTTCACTGACATATAGTATTGATAATCATTTTCATACAATTTACAGTCCATAAAATGTTGAATTGTTCCAAACTCTTAGTAATTTTTTTTACCCCAATGCATAGATGGCATTAGACAGATTTGAACTGACGTTAAGGATTTTCTTAGTTTTCTCATTGCTCTTTAACTTCTTGTTTTATTTGTCCTCCAAAACTTTTTGTTTGGAGTGCCGCTTTAGTTCTGTGTAGACGAAATGCAAATCAGACTAACTAAATTATATACCTATAGTATTATTGATGGAATTTTACGAATATTTAGTCGATACCAATGTTGGTGGACGTTTCGTCCAAGAAGGTATCATCATTCCAGTTGATAGCACTATTGAATTGACATGAACTATCATTGATGCCGTCAACTTGCTATTCATAAAATGCTGAATTATTCGAAACTCTTAGGTTTTCCGCCCACACCCTAGATAGCCTTATCCATATTTGCCACTTTTTTATTTTGGTTAACTGTGCCCTTCAACTTCAAATTTTATTTGTTCCCGTTTTTTTATTCGAGTGCCATTTTTGAGTCTTGTGTAGCCAAAACGCATGCTTAGATTATTAACTGGTATCTTTGATAAGTAATTTTCAAAAAATAAACCGCCGTATTGCCAGTATGGTCGTTGTTGCTGTTCATATTAATTCTTATAAACTGTACCATTAAAATAATATTATTTAATAATTGCTGGTTACTTTTTAAAGAAGATCTAATTAGGAGAATGGCGTCTAAACTTATATTAGATTACCTCAAGAAATGTAGTATGCTGGCTTCTTTAATATGAGCACCGAATGCATATGGATGAGTATACCTTGAAACAACAAGGCCTATTTAAGACAATAATTACTAACTTGAGGGTGGGATGTCAACAGATGCAACATTCTATTGGAGAGAAAATTTACATTTTTGACACTTAGAGTTAGAATTATGTATATTTTTATAAATGACAATTCGGCGACACATGCTTTTTTTTTTTTTTGTTTTTTTTTTTGGTTTTTAGAGTATCAAATTTAATTTTGGTTTCACTGATATTCCATTTAAGGTGTGAACACTTGCAGACTGATTGAACAACCAATCACTGACACAAACAATGAAATCATGTTTATCAATTGTTTCACACGCTCATTTGAAACATATTTCTCGTTAAAATATTTGGCCCTTTGCATCTTTCTATGGCTATACATCATTGGCTTTGAGCGTCCCTGATGAAGCTTGGACGCCTACAATTTATCATCTTCGTATTTCTAGCTTTAGGTCGATACCGCTACTTGTCGACTACTATCCCTAAGGTTATTTGATCAGTAGTCTATGCTTCGGTACTGACATATTCATAGCATATTCTTCTTTATGTTTTTAAATAGAAAAATGCAAAGTTGACCGTGGGTGTATTTGTATTTGGATAATATTTGTAAAAGCCTTTTCATATAGCTCTTCATGTGATTCAGGTGTGAAACATCATTGTTTTACAAATACAATGTATTTGACTTTGAGCGCTTGATAAAGATAAATTTACAAAAGCGCTTCGGACACATACAATTTATAAAATGTTTCTCCATTTCTATCAGCAAATACAAACTACCAAAGTAAATGATTAAAAAACAAAGTGGAAAAGTGAAAATCTCTAGCATGAACGACAAAATATTGGCAAATTATAAGGAAAATAATGTTTCACAACTAAGTGGTATTTTGCTTGATGTCGATTCATTATCATTCGCTGGATACCAATTTTCGTGGATTTCGGAGGTACGTATGAACCACGACTTCAAATGTTCAACGTTTGACAAATTTTCGATAGGCTTGTATGCAGACTACGACAAAACCACAGAATTGAATATCTTTGAACATGCAAGTTTTCATTAGTCCACGAAAATTGGTATCCACTAAAGTTGATAGCCACCAAAATTAATGAAACGACAGTAAATATTATTTATATTTTAGGTTCCTGAAATTTACGAAAATATGTACCAAGACATAAAGAATGAAGGAAGACGAAAATTTTCGGGTAATATTCTCTATAATTGTAAATATAAATAACAAAGCTATGGTATGAGTGCCAATGAGACAACTCTCCATCCAAGTGACAAAGTAAAACAAGTGAAAATTATAGGCCAAAGTACGGCCTTCAACACGGAGCCTTTGGCTCGCACCGAACAGCAAGCTATAAAGGGCCCCAAAATTACTAGTGTAAAATAATTCAAACAGGAAAACCAATGGTCTAATCTATATAAAAAACGAGAAAACACTTATGAACCACACCAACAAACGATAACAACTGAACGTCAGGCTCCTGACTTAGGAAAGGTGCATAAAAATGTAGCGGGTTGAAATGTTTTAACAGGCGCCAACCTTAATCCTAACCTCAGACAGTAGTGTAACATTACAACATAAAATGACACACTAAAACGTATCAATTGAAATGGCTTAACTCGATCAAAAAGACTTATATTTTCTTACCAAATAGTCAGCTCATGGCTATGTTTATAATTTGTAAACTGAAACATATTACTATGAATTAGCTGATGAGAGTTTTGACACTCATATCTAAAACACATAACTGGACACTTTCTGGTGAAAGAGAACTCAGGACTAAATGTTAAAATGATGACTAATGACGTGTCATCCTAACTCATCAAATCAATCATCTAAGTCAGTATCCTTTTATCCCTTTTTCTTTAGAATGGACTGTTTTTTGTTCATTATTGAAGGCAGTGTAGTCACCACTACAATTATTGTGATATTCAATTAGTTCATTTTTTGTCGGTGTTTGACTTAGTGACAGCATACAAATTCAAGTCAAGGGGAAATATGCAATATCATGCCAGCATTAGTTTTCAGTTCTGTTCAATTCATATAAGGCAATTCAATTTGAATTTATTGGATAGACAATTTAGATCTAGATTAAAGCTTGACCATCACTGATTATTGTGTATTGGATTCTATTGGTTGTTTGTATTCACTTTTTCTGATGTATAACTGACTTCTACACAACACTTCTTCTATTGCATAGATGTAATAACTTTTTTGTTAAAGTGGAAAGCAGGTCTAATATTACACAATACATTTTGTACTGAAACTTTCCTCAGAATTGAGTTTCTTATGTCATGGCCATTGAAGATTAACTGACTTACAAGACCAATGCAGTTTTGATTTTACAGGAATGGTAACAGCAATGGATGATGCCATTGGAAAGGTAACAGATTCACTGAAGCGTAACGGAATGTTTGAAGATACCCTGATCATATTTACTTCAGATGTAAGATTATGCAAGTTTGAATAGTATATTTTTTTTTTCATAACTATATTTACATATCTTTTTTAATCTTGAATACGAACATCGTGTTTATATATATGTTAACGAAATACAATACAAAGTCATTTGATTACTGTCATCAGTTGTCTTGAGGAACATTTCACGATGATCATTGTTGAAGGTCATACATTTACCTATAGTTGCATAAATCCAAGTCATTTTGACTCTGGTGGATAGTTTGGCGTAAAAAAGTTTATCCTGGTATCGATGTAGAGTTTGTTCACTACTTTGAAAGTTTCTAAGTGTTTACAAATTAATCTTATACAAATTAGTTTAAAGTTATTTTTAAAGGAAAAAACGAACTATGTTTTAGAATGGTGGTTGGCCAATCTATTCTGGGAATAATTACCCACTGAGAGGGAGTAAGGCAACAGTATATGAAGGAGGAACTCGGGCTTCAGCTTTCGTATACGGTTCGGGACTTCAGAAACCTAATACTGTTTTTGACGGGTAATAAATTCAATAGTAGTAGTAGTACCTTTTTTGAGAATTGAGAATTTATGCCAATTATTAAAAGAAACATTATGCCAGTATGAATTGTAGCATTATCCATGGTGTATTTGCTTTGCTGTTACTAAAACAATTAAAAACAGAATAAACTTGATTTGTTTTCGAATTAATGTATTAAATAAACTACAAATTATATTTTTTCTTCAAAACTGACTTGATAATCTATACAAAAATGTAAATTTAACAAAACGACTTCAAATATTGAGTTGATTGTTTGCTTTAATATTGTTGTTTTAGTATGATTCATGCTGTGGACTGGATGCCAACAATTCTCTCTGCTGCTGGAGGAGGTCAAGGTATATATATATATATCTCAGTCAATTTCAAATCTGAAGTCCTATGAATCAATTAGATAATAGTTGTTAATTTTCTGTAAAAGATCAAAGTCTGGAGGAGGTCAAGGTATATATATATTCCAGTCTGTTTCAAATCTGAAGTCCTATGAATAAATTAGATAATAGTTGGTCATTTTCTGTGAAAGATCAAAGTCCGAGACATAGCCGATGACATAAACATGTTCTGTTTGACAAATATGTGACTTAACAAAAAAGCAGAATGACACTCGGGCGGTTCTTGTAAAAAGTAAAATGATAAAAATACTCCAAGGAAAACTCAAAACAGGAAGTCCCTTATCAAAAGAAAATCTGAAAAATTATGAAGCATTTAAACAAATTTTCCGTGTGTATATGCTTGCTGCATACACATTGAAAAACTATATATAGATATTCAAAATCTCTGCACTCGTTAAATAATAAAATACTAACGAGTTTAATTTTCTCTTGTCTGTTAGGTAGACACGGAGATTAAGTGCCACTCTTTGTAAGAATCAGGCAATTTAGAAGAATTTCAAAACATGACCGAAAAAAACGGCCATCATAACCATCCTTTTTGAAGTTACCCGCATCCTGAGTTACTGTCTGATAACCCGAGAAATATTTAGATAAGCTTTGATTAGAATGATAACAAATTACACAGTAAGCTCCTCTTTATTGTTAATTTCTAGTGCATATCGACCAACTTATATCTTAAAATGCCAGAACAAGAAAAGGAAACGAATGTTATGTTCATGAACCATTATACATTCTGAACTTAAGTTAATGTAAACTTGAGCGGGTTTTTTGTAAGTCATGTATTCCCCACTGTCTGATAAGTAGGTAGATTGGTACTTAAATAAAAGAATTTGCTTGCTCCCTGGTGAAATATTGTCTTTACAAACACATAAAGTAATGTAATAGACTTTTTAAAGACCAGTTCGAAATGTGTGTTTGTCTTATCTAAAACAAAATTACAAATGTATTCCCTTTTCAAATTTGCCATGGAAAAACCTTAATTTTATGCTATAAGGACAAGCTTAAACAGTTGAGCCGTAATATAATACTGTCACTTCATTTTATCTTCACTTTGGTTCGGTCGCACTGCTTTCAACATTGTTACTATTATGTTTGACATTTTAGACATTTTACTGGTTTAAAACGTTACATTTTATTAAGAAAATTGATATTGAATCAATGATCAAATCAGCAAAATTGAATATTTGAGACACTTTTGCTGAGATGTGAACCCACTAACTGTATCTACTCTCGTCTTCCTCAATTTTAATGGATGATCATTTGTTCTGAATTAGTGAAAATGGAATATTCGTGTAACATTTTAATCTTTGGATTTATCTTTTTTTTTCTCAAGTAAGTGGAATTGATGGTGTGAATTTGTGGCCAAGCATAAGTGATGGAGTTCAATCCTCCTTAAGGTCGGAGTTCATCTATAACCTCGACGATTCTGTAGTACCTTATATTGGGCGTGCTGCTATTAGGTCAGTGTATAGCAAAATAGAAAGACATTTTAAGGCTTATAATTTCATGAATGATTTTTAAATATACTGGTAAATAATGCCGAAAACTTACACTATTTAATTGTGTCTGTTTATGTTATTTAAGATTCAAGTTTACATTTGTGATATACTCTAAATAGTCAATAATGTATGTAATATTTCACAAAATGTTGCTTTCCGGTTACTAATGTTATACTACATAAAACAATTACATGTACTTTTTTTGCTATAGAATGGGTGATTACAAGTTAATAGAAGGATTTGCTGGTGCATGGAATGGCTGGTACCCTGTTCCTGAGAACGAGGAAGACGCTAAAATAGATGAACCAAAAGTAGCCTACTATCAGTTGTATAACTTGAGAGGTAAATAATATATAATCAATCAGCACTTCACTTCAGCATTACATAGGTTGGTGGTAGCAAGATCGTTACAATTGTTTAGTTAGCTTTTTCATGAGAAATGTATAATCCATTGCTTGTTATATAGATTTATGCAACATTATTACCATGATAATCTTATCGTAAACTGTCAGAAAAATCAGTAGTGAATTTTTCATGGTATACAAGTTCCTATATTATATAAGTTCAAAATGGAAGATACATTACAGTATTTGTTCTTGCCGGAATAAAGAGAAGAGAATATTTGTCAAAACAGAGAGATATATTTTAGAATTGTTTATAATAAAGTTTCTTGAGGAATCTCTTTAGTCAGGAATACAGTCAAAAGTAATTAGTCGATGTTAATATTCAAAAAAAATGATTAATGAGACAATCAATGTAACAACCAATAACTGAGAGAAATTCATGAACACAAATCTGATCGAGACAGGAAGTGACGATAGGGTATGCATCTCCTGCTTTGTCTGCATCAACCGTCGTGCGAATCCAGACTCATTCTAAGGTACTAGTAGCAATACACAGTTAGGAGTGTAGCATTTTGGCCCCGCGGAATTTAAAATATATAAAAAGTTAGTGTGCAATAAAATTCATTTTTAGAAAACTGATGACTAATTGTGCCTTCAAAGTGGGTTTATTAAGAACAGCAAAATTACTTTTTAAAATGTTTTATTGGCTATTTTCTGTTTGACTGTCCGTAATTTCGTAGCCAGACCCGCCATAGATCCAGAAATTATTTTTTTACACGCGAATTGTTTTACGCAATTTTTCAAAAAAAAATTCAGAAAAGGTATCACTACAAGGGATGGAAATTCTACTTTCGGACATATTTTGGGAAAATATGTGACATCTTTACCACCCCCTCCTTTTAAAATAATCTATAGCGAATACATGCAGGTTGTTGCCATGGATACAAAAAAAAAATCATCTTGAACCATATCTACTGGATATCAAATCTATTGAAGATACTGATTATATACATATTTTTTTTATTTTTTTCCTAACTGTATATTGCTACCTAAATATATCACAAATTGGAATGGGACATCATTTGGTGAAATGATTGATTACAAGACTACAACAGTATATAAGGCTTAAATAAAGGCAACAGAAGTATACCGGTGTTCAAAAGTCATAAATCGATTTAGAGAAAACAAATCAAGGTTACAAACCAAAATCGAGGGAAACACATCAACTATAAGAGGAAAACAAAGGAACAACAGGAACACCGAAGTGCAACAAAAACAACCGCCAACACACATAGAAACGAACTATTTGATAACAACTGCCATATTCCTGTCTTGGAACAGGACAAATTTAAGAAAAAATGGTGGATTGAACCTGGTTTCATGGCATGCCAAACCTCCCGCTTTATGACAATGTTAAGAAATATCGCTAAAACACTACGTGACAGAAATACAGCACAAACACACGCAAGAACATTCATAACAGAGAAACGCACAAACAAATAATATAATAGTCGACACAACATGCAAACAACGAACATATTCTCCATCAACGAAAAACACCACAGGATATCAAAAACAGTAAGACTGCAAAAACATGTTGCTAGTGAGTCGAAACACAGATTTGTTCTAGCGTTCAGCTAATTGCTGTCGGTGACCGTAAATTTATGAAGTGGTTCTTACTCATTTCTAATTTTTGTTAAGGAGAAAACCCCTGCTAATGAAATTCGTATAGCATGACTGTGAACGAAGTTTATCCACATATGAAGCAGGATCTGCTTACCCTTCCGGAGCACCCGAGATCACCCTCGGTTTTTGGTGGATATCGTGTTGCCCAGTCTTTAGTTTTCTTTGTTGTGTTTTGCATACCATTATCTTTTTTTTGGTTATTTTTTGCCATGGCGTATCACTATATTTTCGACTTATGAGTTTGAATATCCCTTAGGTATGCTCCGTTTCTCTTGAGATATGCAAACGCCATAAGATTGAGAATAAGGTATGATCCTATTAAGAATTTTGACTTTTGGAGAGTTGACATCGTCACGTTTGTCATAGATTCTAGTTTGAGGTTGTCCATTTATGTAAAAATCGATAAAGAGATCAAGACATGAAACATAGCTGTTAGTTCGGAAGTATCCCTAATTTCAAGTTCTCTGGACTATGTGGGAGACTTTCACTCGCTAAAATGTTAGCTATTTAGTGAGAGAAAATCATCAATATATTAAATTAATTATAAAGATCTTTGCAAGATTTTTTCTTTTTGTCTTTGAGAAGGTTTTGTATGATTTTTTCATCATATGACGAAAAACACAAAAGTCGGCTAGCAAGGGTGCATATTTGTACCCATTTGAATACCGAATGTCTGTTGAAATATCAACTCACCAAACTGAACTAGTATGATGTCGATAAAAAAATCCATAATTTGATGATTTAATCTTTGGTGTATTTTGTTTTGGAATCTGTGCTGTTCATATAATAAGATTTTTCATGTCCTAAAGCAAGATATTTGCATCTACGATTCTCATTTCTGTAGGAAAACATATGAGAGGATGTACTAGTATTCGGTCTTTCAATTGGAAATGATCGTAGGTTTTATAATAGATCTTCGAATTTAAAAGAAAACATCTGATTGACACAGCCGGTTGAAATCACCTAATTACGACTGAAGTCCAGGTTTTACTTTCGAAAGAATGGGGATAAGAACGTTACAAGATGTGAATCGAACATCTTGACGGCCTGGCCATATGTCATTCGAAATGAAGATTTTTTGTGAGGAAGAGGTATTCAGTATAAAGACGAGAGCTTTTCGTTTTCGTTTTTTATGTTAAACACAAAGGAGAGAAGGACAAACTTGTGATTTTCTAAAATCTTATTTTTCGTTGATGGTGTAGGGGCATATTTGAGATTCCCAGTTTTGATCTCAAATAATGATTTTTGCATATAAAACGATTTTGTTAGACTCTTTGTCTGGTAGAACAACAACATCTATTTGGCGTGAATAGAGGATCAGACATCAACAACCACGTGGTTCTTGAACATGGTTAGAAACCCATGTTCTCATTATACGTCATAGATTTCGATTGAGTCTCTGAACGCATGACCATAATGGTCTGATCTAATCAGATAAAGTTTGCAGTTTTGTTTAATCTCGCTTTACCCATTTTCTAGCATAATCATCAAATGAATCGATCAGTAACCTGAAGTTCTTCTTCTAGTAAATAGGTAGGACAATCCGCTATTTTGGAAGTACACATATACGTTGATAAAAAAGTATAACAAAAATACCAAACTCAAAGGCAAATTCATAAAGGGGAAGTCCATAAAAACTGACAAAATCAAACGCCGTTAACCAATTATAAAATTAAAAACAACTGCACGTTCCTGATAAACTCAAGTTCAATGATAAAGAAACAGATGTGGATCCTGGATTTTGAAAGGGGTCATCAACAAAGCAACGTTAGGAGAAGGACTATGCATTATCCATAAATATTGCCCTATAAGTGATTCCCGAACTCAATCCGTCTCTGAGTAAGCAGTTGCTTGTTAGTAGATTTTTTAAAACATCTATTTAAGTAGAGCTGGTTTTACTAGTTCGTTATTTTCCATTTTGTTCTCTTAAGTCATGTCCCTTAATTGTTGTCTTGGTATGTTAATTTTTATTATATGATATATATTTTGATCGTTTACACATTTAAGTTTTCAGAAAGTCAGTCAAACTGTTTTATGCAATAATTTGTTTTTTTATATAAAATCTTGTAGATGATCCTTATGAACACAATAATTTGCACACCAAAGAGCACAGCATGTTAGAAAAGATGAAAGAAAGGCTTAATGAATACAGGAAATATATAGTGCCACCTCTAACAGAGAAACCAGACCCTGCATCGAATCCAAACAATTATAATGGTTACTGGACACCTGGGTGGTGTTAGTGTTTATTGATAAAAACCTTAGATTAAAGAAATTATTAAAAAGATCTACACACTAGATTATTCAATTTGTTTGTTGTTCTCCTCATTCATTATCCTTATATCGTTTATTCTGTCTTTATTCCATGTCAAAGATAACTTTTCGATGTGCATTCCATAAAAAAATACCATATTTCAAATGCAATACAATTTTTGTACATCACCTTTGCAGCGTAAGATAAAGTGGAACAAACATACGCATTTACATACAAACTATGTCACCTAAATAGACAGGGTTGATATCTTTTAGATTAAATTCGGTTTAAGTTAGAAAGCGTCGGCCTAGTAGTTTCAGAGAAGGCAATTGACAAATAACCAATCAGCATCAAGTATTTAGTGTAAGATTAGAACCAGATACTTGAATCATGGCGTACATATCATTTTAAATAAACTCATCATAGATAGCAGGATTTTATTTTTTACCAAAGTTTAACTCATGCTGTCGGAGTTTTTGCAAGTTTTTTTTTGTCATGTTAATGTGAATCAAAGCTAACTTTGTATGTAGTCGAATTTCTAATGGTTCATAAATGTAAGTATGCTATGGTATGCAGGTATTACGACATATCATAATTGAAACAGCGAATAATGTGATAATGTGCTTCTTTGTCAAGTAATGTCAATGAAAGGAGAAAGATATCCATGGTCATAAAATTTAATCATAAGTGCTAACACAAAGATATGTTATTTCAAAAAACTAATGCAAATTAAAAGATATATGCAGGTTAAAAATAACTATCTACATAGCTAGGCGACCATTCTTTAGGTAAAAATGAAAAATAAAATATGATGGCCTTTTTGGGTTCTGCGTTTTCACTGTGAAAATTCTTTGAAAAACATAAAAAATAATTCTGAAATTTTGAGTTAGGTGTAGACTAAATATTCAATCCGAATGATATTGTAATATTTTTTTTAATTTTATTTCTTTTTTTTTATATTTGGGGAGGCAGGCGGAGGGTCAATTTTAGAAGAATAGTTGGGTTTATATTGAATTTTCTGATTTTTTTACTGCTTTTCCTAGTTTTCTTGCTTTTATGGTTTTTCGTCACTGTAAATTATATCAATCATAAAATATTATTGACTGTAAGAATAAAGATAGCATGAAATGAAATTGTAAAAAATATGACTCCAGGTACTCGGTTCGAAAGACCGTTTTAAAAAGGACCCAGTGATTTCTTATATATCGTAATACTGCAAGGTTATGTTAAAATGTTTTCAGAATAGAAAGTTGTCATCAAATTAAAAAGGATTAAAATGATCAACAAAGTAATATGTTTTTGTGACTTATTAAGAAAAAATAATATTGTCTTCGCTAAACTACAGGTACAAACTAGAAAAAATCAGTTTTTAAACCCAAGAATGTCTTCTTTCATATTCACATTTCATTCGAAAAACTCGGACTTTTTTAATGTTGCTCTCAAAAAAGCCCACAATATAAAACCTGAATTATCTGTGAACTACAAGGAAATTGTGCTTCTTTTATGCTCAGAACATGTATAGCATTCAGAATAAGATGAAAACAGTCATTAATAAAACTATTATACTCGCGAAATAACAGTAAATCGTTCTGATCGCATGTAAAATCACCCGAAAAAAACCTGATCCACACAAAAAGGGGACCTATTCACTCGAAAATACACGATCCCAGCCAGACACTATATCTACCGTGAATTAAAAAAAAATATTTGGGATGTAAATATGTGCTAAATTGTATAGTCTATGAAACTTAAGAACCATTTTCTTCCAATTGAAAATCGGTATTTTCCCTTTTATGTCATTATTAAGAATTATACAGTTTTAGAAAAGCTGATTTATATAACATTGTCTGCTTTTTTAAATGAAGGAATTTTAGACATATAAATATTAAATTGTCCCCGAGGATTCTAACAGTCCGGAAGGCAAACAGCATGAATACAACTATAATAAATAATATTATACCGGATGACACGTCGCCCAGGATAAAAAGGTGTCAATCGGATGTTGTCAAGGACACAACAACACCAATTATATCAGGTGTCCCCAGGATCATCTTAAAGGATGTAATGAAAACAACGCATGTGCAGTCTTCTGATTCCTAGTTGTTCTATAAAAATTCAGACAATTTTGTTGATATTCGATCCTGTACTGCTCAACTTTCAGATATTTTAGATTTCAATAACAACCTACGATATTGCTCTATTTATAAATGTAGCCGTAAAAATCGTAAAACCTGTGGTGTACTAAAATCTGATACTCACTTTAAAAGTAGTTTGATCACCAAAAGTTACAAAACACACAGTCATGAGGATTTAAAGTGTACTGCTTCCAATATTGTGTACGGTATTGAATGTGCTCTTTATGGACTGATCTACGTCGAGGAAACTTGACAAAGACTCAATTTTAGAATGAATGACCATCGGTGTAATGTTAATGATCCTTGTAACAACAAATGTCTCTATAAAAATTTTAATAAGCCGGACCATTCTTTTGTATCAATGCAATTCCGGATTATGAAGAAAATATATCATTCAACAAATGATCCCATATTGAGCACACCATATCGTCTACAAAGAGAAGACTGTTTGATTGCAGACTTGGGAACAGTCATTCCCTATGGATGTAATGACAAAATTGATGGTGGAGGTATTTTGTCTAGTCATAGGTGTAGTACTGCCAATAAGGTACAATTATTTTACACTTCTGCTCAACGAAATAGAAGTCATGGTCACAGAAATTATACACCACCTGCTGTTCACATAGTAACAATTGATAGTCTGTTATCGTCTGTTCAAAAACCTTAAGAATTTCATTATATCAGAACTAAATTATACTCCATTCATTATCTAAACTTTATTTACTATTTCAACAGGCCCAAAAATGATTCCGTTATTGATTCTAATTCTGTTTTGTATAGATTATTTGCAATAATCATGCACATTGCTAACCATAGTCTATTCTCACCCGTATCAACAAAGATTAGGAAAACCGTAATTGTTTTAAAGTAGAATTCGCCAATAAAGATTTTGGCTATCCATTAAACCAGGTTCAATCCACCATTTGTTTTAAAAATATCCTGTACCAAGTCAGGAATGTGGCAGTTGTTATCAAATAGCTCGTTTCTATGTATGTTGGCGTTTGTTTTTGTTGCACTTAAGTGTTCCTGTTGTTCATTTGTATTCCTCTTATAGTTGATATGTTTCCCTCGGTTTTAGTTTGTAACCCGAATTTGTTTTCTCTCAATCGATTTATGACTTTTGAACAGCGGTATACTACTGTTGCCTTTATTTAGATGCTATTAATATTAGCAATATTTACCATAAAAATCTGTACAAAAATACTATACCTGCATATTTCAAAAATAAAGCTACACCTGTAATTTCATAAACTTACACCAAGTCTATTGAATCCAATAGTTTCAACCACAAGAGGGTTTAGATGCCTTTAACCTCAAAGATATGAAATCCAAACTTCCGGATTGCTCATGTGCATCGTCAAAATAAAAGTATAGTCCAGCTATTCATGTTATTACTGACGACCTTGGCATCGGAACCAATGAACAACCAAGAGAGTTGTTAGCCAAGGCAACAAAAAATATAGAATTCCCCAGCCCACAAACAGGAAAAAGAACTTCGAGTTACTGATGGATGCAGTAAAGGACTATGCTAGAAAATAGGTAAAGCGCGCACCAAACGAAGCAGAAATGGACACTTTGTCTAAATGGATCAAAGCTATTCGATCATGCATCCAGAAGCGCATTCAGAAACTACCGTGTACTATGAGCACAAGGGTTTCTAACCTATTCAAGAACCTGGAGTTTGTGGATGCTTTATCCTCTTTGCATGACAAATATGTCGTTGTTCCAGCAGATAAAGCCTCCAATAATATTGTCTTTATATGTAAAAACCATTATTTGCAATGTCTCACATACGAGCTTGGAATAAAGAACACAACTGGTAATCCTACATATTCTTTAACATCATTTACAGAGGATGAAATTTTACAAAATCACAAATATGTCTTTCTATCTTTTGGTATTAACATCAAAGAAAACGAAGAAAATCTACAGTCATTATACTGGGTACCAAAATTTCACAAAACTCCGTATAAAGAACGATACATAGCTGGAGATCAAGATGTTTGACTAAACATCTTTCTTAAGTACTGAGTACTATTCTTTCTACAGTAAAATATGGCCTTCAAAAATATTGTGATGAGATATATTCAACAAGTGGTGTCAATCAGATGTGGATTCTCAAATATTCTAAAGATCTTTTGCTAATTCATAGATCACAATCACTGCAATTTTGCAGCAACATTAAGAACTTTGATTTTTCTATTCTTTACAATACTATTCCCTATGCTCAATTGAAAGATCGACTTCACCATCTCATTAAACAAAGCTTTTTCTATGAAAATGGGAATTGTAAATTTCTTGTTTTGGGTTATAATAATTCTTATTTTGTGAAGAACCACACTGATCCTATCAAAAAATACACTGAAGATGATATTATCTAAATGCTGGACTTTTTAATCGACAATATATTTGTTGATTTTGGAGGATTGATTATTCAACAGACAGTCGGTATTCCAATGGGTATTAATTGTGCACCCCTTCTGGCCGATTTGTTTTTGTACTCGTATGACGCAGAATTCATTCAGAACCTTCTAAAAGACAAAAAGAAAAAAACACCTTGCGAAATTCTTTAATTTTACATTCAGATATATTGATGATGTCCTATCACTGAATAACCGATATTTCAGTTAGTACTTGCATTCCGTATATCCAAGTGAATTTGAAATTAAGGATACTACTGATACTAGAAGGACTGCTTCATACCTTGATCTTTTCCTCAGCATTGAAACAGATGGACGACTTCACACTAAAATCTATGACAAACGGGATGATTTCAACTTCACATTGATCAATTTCCCATATCTCAGCAGTAACATACCCTCTACTCCGTAGTATGGTGTTTACTTATCTCAATTGATACGTTATGTTCGTGTATGTTCTCACTATACAGACTTCATATACAGGAGTGT